TATCTCTTCGGAGAATGATGTTCCACAGATAGGGAGCCACCAAGGAGAAGGCCCTTCTTCTTGGTCCCAATAGATATACCTCCTTAAGATTGGGGAGCTGTGGCATTCCCTGCCTTCCTATGCTGGTGGGTTGGGTAGATGTGATCGGGAAAAGGTGGCCCTTTAAATACCGTGGTCCCAAGCCATGCAGGGCTTTAAAGGTAGCAATCAGTACTTTAACTGGACCTGGGAACAACTAATTCAGCTCCTGCAGGAGAGATGACACGTGTGCACACGTAGGCCTGCACAAAACCATCCAAACTGCTGCATTTTGAACCAATTGAAGTTTCCAGATACTTTTCAAAGGCAGCCTCATGCACAGTGGGTTACAGTGATCAAGGTGGGAGATGACTAGGGTGGGAATGGCTGTGAGCAGGGATTGTTCATCTAGGAAAGGGCATAGCTGGTGCATAACCCACCGTTGCACAAAGGCCCTCCTGGCCACAACTGCCACCTGTTCCTTGTAAAGGAGTCATGAATCTAAGAGAACCTCCATAATATATATTGGATCTGTCTGGCATGGTGCCACCCATCCAAGAGCAGACATGGCAATTGTTCATGGACCAAAGAACCCCAAACCCAGAGCCATTTGTCCTTGCCAGGGTTTCATTTCAGTCTGTTGCTCCCCATCCAGCCTCCAAGCATTACGAGAGGGATATCATGGCATCACTTAGCTCACCATGGGCCAAGACATAGATGGATGCCATCAGCATATTGATGATATCTCAACTTTTGGTCGGCAGATGATATCACCCAATGGCTTCATGTAAACAGAAGCAGAGAAAGTGCCAAGCCCTAAAGGGCCCCACAAAACAGAGGACAAAGACTGGACTTCTTACCATCTGAGAGGGTCCACAGAGGAGAAAAGTGAACTAGGGTAACACAGAACACCCTCCCCACTCCCAACCATGATATAGAAAGTCACTCAGAGGTCACGTAGAGAGGGTATACCATAGCAAGGATAGAGATCATCCAAAAGAGCAACCAATGCCCTTTCTGTCCTGTATCCAGACCTGAACCCTAATTTAAAAGGGTTCAGTTACCGTATTTTTCAGACTATGACACACCTTTTTCCCTCCAAAAAGAGGCTGAAAATCTGGGTGCGGCGTATAGACTGAATACAGCATTTTTGGCCTCCTGAAACCCTGCCTCTTCACCAAAATGGCTGTGCATAGCCTTTAGGGGACTTATAGAGTGTTGCTGGGGACTGGGGAGGGCAAAAATGAGTGAACAACAGACTGTTTTTGCTCCCCCAGCCTCCAGGAACACTATAAGCCTCCTAAAGGCTATGCATGCCCTTTTTTTTGACAAAAAAACGGGCCTGTTTTTGTGAAAAACAGACCATTTTCTTGCTTGTTTTTGCTCCCTGCCAGCCCCCCCCCCCGGCCCCCAGGAATACTCTACAAGCCTCCTAAAGCCTATGAATTCCCCCCTTTTGGGTGAAAATGGGCCATTTTGGGGAGGTCTGCAGAGTGCAAAAACATTTTTTTAAAAAAATTTGCCACTTCAAAATCTTGGTGTGTCTTATACTCCGGTGCTTTCATCCAGAAACCCCTGGAGCTGTGCAACTACTTTCTCAATAACCTTCTCCGGAAAGGGAAGACTGAAGAGAAGATGAAATCGTTTTTTAAAAAGTAAAATAAATAATTAATTTAGGGTAGGCTTTCTCTATCTAATGACAATCAGCCATTAGAACCACAATTATATAGATACAGGGCTCTCATATCAGAACTGCAAAAATCCAAATAATAAATTGACAATAGCAAACAGGAATGTCTACATTTCTTTGCTTCATCTAATGGCTATTTGGAGTTCTTTAGCCCTTATATGTATTGATAGACTAGAACTAACTTCAAGATCAGATTTAGGTCTATTCCTAATAGAATCTTAGAGATAGCACTGATCCTCAATAGTAATGTAAACCCATATTTTGAAGTAGTAGAAATTCTACCATTGTAGTATTGTGCTTTCCTTAAAAATCCTCTAATGAACAAAAGTTTCCTATCCCACAAGTATAATGTTCTACTGCCAAGCAGCTGATATTTTTTGTTAAAGTTTCATCTATGGACTTTCCCTTCATTTGTTGCCAAGAAGACATCACTTTGGGTCTAATGCTTAAGAACAACAGAACATAAGGTAGCTTATCTTCATTGTGACAGTCCTTTAAATAATTCAATATATTTAGCATATCATTTCAAGTTACAGAAGATCTTTAAATCTGTCCTTGTGGGAACTACCTCTAAACTCTTTTTTACCCCATTCATGCCAGTTACTCAGATATTCTGATATGATATCTACTCTTGAGGTCAAAATAAAGTATGCAAAACAAAAATAAAGCTTACATATCCTGTGGTATGAGAAAATGTTATTTTTATCCATCTCCATTACTGAATCTAAAATCATCTGTGCTGCTTAACACATGTTAAGCCATAACTTACGTAAGCACAGTTTCTCAAAGAAACTGAAATTGGCTAGTTTAAAAATCATGTTTTGCAAACTACAATGGTTGTGACGAGCCAACTATTTTTAGGGCTCTTATAAACACCAAAACCAGTGCAAGATGGGAACTATGGCCCATTTTCAGAGGTCTTCTTTATGGAGATGCAAGCAAAAAGAAGCTAAGAACATCCAGTAGGAGAGAAAAAAAACTAATATCCCCCTGAGTTGCTGCTGCAATTTAGTGAAGGGTAAATGAATATAATCCACTGCTAAATAATATTGGAACTGCAAAACTAAGAATTAAAGAAAAATAACCCATTGAAGATATTTTGTTAATTGAATAGAAAAATGTGGGAGAGGATTGTAAAGATTATAGCTGCAGATTTATGGATTTAAATTCCCTGAATTCTTAGAAATGGCCTTGTTCGGTGGGGAATTCTGAGAGCTGATGTCTAACATCTGGTATGGAGGGCATGTGTTTGGCTTACCTACATATTAGAGAACAAATATAGATGTACATGTACATATACACACATTAAATATGCATTAAATATAAGGTGCTTTTTTGTTCTTAAAAAGATCTGCCTTTATGGGAAACATTTGTCACATTGCTTATGAAACTGCTGCTGGCCCATCCCTGTTGTTCTTTTGACCTCACCTCTTTCTTCAGAGCTGACCAGGTTATGGTTACTTGCTTTGACATAAATAGCATGGTTGTCTAGTTCAGATATTGTCCAAAGTAGTTCACTCTATCTTAGAAAGAAGCAGCACAGAAGAAAGAGCATACTCATACTGGAAACCAAATTGCTGCCAAGCATCCTAATAATGAAACAATTAGAAACATGTCTCTTTCTCTAGCAATTCTAGCAAATGCTAGAGAAAAAAAATTTGTCATAGCCAATGCGGAATTTAACAGGAATTAATTGCTATTTGTGCCTTAGCATGTCTTAAACTAATGGAGAGGGACATATTCCTGACCTTCTCCAATCACAAGGACAACGTCTACACAATGCTACCATAAAGATCCAAGTTGGAAAGGAGCTCAAGGGACTTCTTCTCACTAATTATCAAAACTTCACAAAATAAATATTTTTTCCTTCTGCTTATCCCCATAGCAATCCCTGGAAACTTATTCTCACTGTAAAAATGAATAACTGAGACTGCAAAATAATCCAAAGTGGGCCGTGAAAGCAAGTCAACAGTCTAGATATCCTTCTGAACCATGGAAGGAATCTTATATTTTCTACAAATTTTATTTGGTCAAATCAATATATGTCCCCCAACAGCACCAACACAGGACGAAGCATACACAAGATTAGAAGAGCCATGACATGTTGATCATCTTATACTTGTCATGATCTTTCAGCAACACCCCATATGTAAGACAAACAGGATAGACTTTGGAAAAAAGAATAAATGGGTACAGACTCAAAACAAGGACAAAGGAATTTCAGTGATTCAATCCCCCCAACCCCTCTACTGTGGATTTCAAATGACTATTTTGAAAAAAAAAAGACTTTAACAGCATCAGTGAAATGATTGAGCTTACATACATCAGAAGGTTTAAGACTTTCTCAAAGGCCTCTTAATGAGTTTTAACATATTACAATAGATACTTATTGCTACAACAAAAGACATCTCAAGTGATAAAAGTATTTGTAATTTGTCTCATGTATTATCTGCATAATCAACCTGTCTCCTGCTCTTTTCTCCTTCGCCTCCACATCCTTCTAATCACTGTATGTGTATAAAATTTGTTAGTCAGAAAAATTGCAATCAGACTCCTCCTGATTTATGCTAACACAGCTCTCCTACAATGCCTCCCGAAACACATTTTCAGTCATCCCACAGCTAAGTGCTATGAAGAGAAAGAAAGCACAAAGCTGGCAACTAAGCACAAATAACTGGATATATTTGTAAAGCGTAAATTGGATATATGTTAAGGGCTTTCAGGAAGAAGTTTCATCAAGAATGTTCTTTAGAAAAGAGGAAACAAAGTAGCGGTAATCCAGCATTCAAAGACTGCATCAACATGTCATTTCACCTATATGCCTCAAGGCCTATATGTCTCAAAGGCTCACCTGGGGTGGGGGGAGAACACCTCCTGGAAATACAATAGCTTAGAAAGCTTGTTTAAAGGCAGCCAAATGAAATTACTGACAACCCTATCTGAGAAAGAGGACTCTCAAACCTGAAAAGGGAACTTATGAAAAGCAGACCAAATGGCAAAGGATTTTTTTTTTTAACCATGTGGAGTTTCCCCTGGAACCGAAAAATAGAGAAACGAATCAAATGGATGACAAATGTCAACCGTGCAAGTGGGAAAAGAAGTGCCAAAGCTCTAAAAACAAGAAATCGTTTTTTTTTTTTTTTTTTAAAGATCCACCAAGCCGTCGAAAATTTACTGTAGTTCACCCTGAATGGCTAAGAACTCCCGACACCAGTTCCGGCTTACCCCGAAATTGCACAGCAATCCGAATCAAAGGGGAAGGAAAGCATTGCTACCTACTGACTTAACTTACCCAAGTTAGTTGCCGGAGATAAAGGCTCCCATGGCTGTATCCTTGGAGGAAAGAGTCACGGACTTCGAGGGTAATGTTCAAGCGTCCCTCCAGCTCAGAACCGGCCCCTTCGCTCCCTCCGCGCCAGCCCTCTCCCTTCGAAAATCACCTGCCCGGCTCGGTGGGTCAAAGGGGCAGGAAGCCCTTCGCGCACTCCAGCGGGAAGGTCGTCTTGCGTTCAGGCAGGAAGAGGCGAGTTTCCGGGCACTGGAAACGTCTGCCGCCCGACGTGATGCTTCCCTTCTCGAGGAAGGAGTAAAAATGCCGCAGAAGGGTTTTCTCGTCCGGCGTAAAAGTAATAGAATGATTCTGTTTAGCTTGGCGGGCAGGCAGGCTGGCAGCCGTTCGCAGAAGGGTTGGAGCTCCCCTTCTATTCTCAAGAGCGAGCAGAATGAATTCCAAGGCTTGAATTGCTCTCGTCCGTCCGTCCGTCTTCGTTTGTCTCGTTGCCCACTAGGCCACCTAGTGGTGGATGAAGGCGTGAAGATGCCTCGACAGGCGCTTAGTGCCAAAGGGAGGTAGGGAAGGGGATGATTGATGATGTATCATCAAACTGGTGTCGACTCCTAGATAGATGTTCTCTATAGCTATCTTTCCCTCGTGTTTTTCAGGTCTCCCCAAAATGCAGCCATAGCTTCTCGTGTCTATGGAGATTCTTAGTCATCCAGGTCATGGTTGTCCAAAAGGTGCTTTTGTTTTTCAAGAGGCCATTGGACTTTCTGGGTTTTCTTTGAAAATGTTTCGCTTCTCATCCAAGAAGCTTCTTCAGCAGAGCTGAAAAAAAGCACTTCTGCGACACGTGTCACTTCTGTAAATGAAACCACCCACCTTGAGCTGGCCGTCCACTTTTTCCTTCCTTCCGCCTTTCCAGGCAGTAGAGTCTTCTCCAGAGAGCCATGTCCTTAGTTGATTTCCTCAAGAAAAAAATGGATGGAAACTAATCAAAGAGAGAAGCAACCTGGAATTAAGGAGAAACTTTATAATAGAACAATTAACCAGCGAAACAGCTTGCCTTCAGAGTTGTAGGTACTTCATCAATGGAGATATTTAAAAAGAGACTGGACAGCTACTTGTCTGAAATGGTATAGGACAGGGATGTCAAACTCAAGGCCCTTAGATCAGGCCCATGGGGCTGCCCTGGAAACAGTGAACGACTGGCCTGTGATGCCTCTGCCAGAGAAAACAGAGCTCAGGAGGGCTGCACGTGGCCTTCCCAAGCTCTGTTTTAGGCTGTGATGGCCTCCTGCAACCCTATGCCAGTGAAAATGAATCTCGGGAGAGCCGTGTGTGCCCTCCTGAGCTCCATTTTCACCGGCAGAGTGCTTGGGCCACCACAGGTGTCCCTGAAACGAGTGACGTGGAGTTGGCCACACCCACCCTTGCCCCCTGAGGTCAAACACAACCCTGATGTGGCGTCAATGAAATCGAGTTTAACACTCCTGGTATAGGATCTCTGGCTTGAGCAGAGGGTTGGACTACATGGCCTACAAGATCCCTTCCAGCTCTAGTCTAATGTATTAGAAGTAGGATAATTTGGGCCTCCGGTAGTAACTCTAGGTTGATTTGTTTAATAATCCATGTGTTGGGAGGTTTCAAATAATACCAAATCATTATTTATTAAAATAATATTTTGCATTCTGCTTCATTTCCTCTCTTTCTGCATGGCCGGTCATTATTTCCTATGAACTTCTTTAACGTAACTTTTATCAATTTAAAACAATAAAGGTTAAGAAATAGCTTTTATTTAGATACTTATTCGGTTAATTTGTGCATTGCTTCTCACATCAAAGACAGCTCAAAGCATAGTATGGGAAGCATTTCAAGAAAAAATATAATAACTGAACATGTTTACCAATAAAGGAGAATAATTGTAGCCATTTGAATATTTGAACATCTTTAATCCATTAAAAAAAAACTTACATCTTAATCTTGTTGCAAATTTCCCCAAAGACCAATTTATTGGTTTCTATTAAATTCCTTTAAACAAACAGAAGATGGTTTCACAATGAATGGACACATTTAACATCCCGTGACAACTTTGCTTACAAAAGTTAGATGTGAGATAAGTTAGCGTTCCCACACACGACATATTTGTCTCATTACCGTATTTTCAAAGAACTGTGTGGTTTTTCCATTGTTTTCCTTTTACTAAGTGGTGCCTGACTTTTTGCCACCTCATGGACCACAGCATGACAGGCACTCCTATCCTCCACTCTCTCCTGGAATCTGCCCAAACTCATGTTCACTGTTTTGGTAATACTAACCATCTTGTCCTCTGCCATCACTCTGCCTTCTATGTTACCCTTCATCTGGATCTTTTGCAATGAGTTGTCTCTTCCCATTAGGTGGCCAAAGTATTTAAGTTTCAGCTTCAGTATCTCTCTTTCCAAAGAACATTCAGGTTTTATTTCCTTTAAGCTTTTTTCCCCTAGAAAAGCAATTATCTGTATTGAATTGTACACAGCACAATTGGAATCTGAGAATATGTGGGGATTTTATTAAGACTAAAATCTGTCATCTGGTTGTAATGCCAGGAATAACGACTACAACACACGAAAGAATAATAATTACAGGTTCTTTATCTGCAGGTTATTTAGCAACTTATCATAATGAGAAACCCTCCTCCTCCTCCTCCTTTCACTGCGAAGGCTCTATGAAAATGCACGCATAAAGTGGAACAACTGAAAGAGGAAGCTTGTACTTTCCTGGAACCTAGAACTGCAGTTGAAGTATAATGATTCATGCTTTCCAAAGCATTTTGTTTGGCACCCAGAAATGAAAAGAAAAGAAAAAATTCTGAAAAGATTATGCTTTTGCTATTCATGACTTAATGTTTTGTTCAAAACCTTAGTTCCCTGAATAGTAGTAAAGCTTTCAAATCATTATATTTAGTAGGCGTTCTTAAGTAGCATTCTCTTACTAGGGGAAGGTGGAAGAGAGTTCCCATAGTAGCAGCATTATACATCTACTTCCGTTACTGCCCTCACTATAGAACAGCCTTTAAATCAGGAGTGTCAAACTCAATTTCATCACCGTTGTGGTTGACCTCGAGTGCCCGGAGTGGGTGTGGCCAGCTCAACCACACTCATGTCAGGGGCGCCTGTGGCAGCCCAAGCGCTCTGGCAGTGAAAATGGGCGCCCACGCTCTGTTTTCAGCTGTGACGGCCTCCTGCAACTCTCTGCCAGAGAAAATGCAGCTCAGAAGAGCCACATGCTGTCCTCCCACGCTCCGTTTTCGCTGGCAGAAGCACAACGGACCAGTTCTTTACTGTCTTCAGAGTGGCCCCGCGGGCCAGATCTAAGCACCCTGTGGGCCGAATCTGGCCCCTGGGGCTTGAGTTTGACACCCCTGCTTTAAACAGCCTGGAAACTGTTTAAAGTCTGGAAACTATTCCCCTGGCTAGAATCATCACAGAAACCCTTTTCTAAATTCTCTGCCAATGGTTCTTCCTCCCAGAAAAAAAAAAGAGTTCTCCTACAGGGATTAAAGCGAAAAGCAGAAATAGCGGCACCCAACTTTCACCCTGAGCCAAACTTTGTCTCAGACATACAGATACTAGGATGAGACAAAGAAATTTAATAAGAGCTTCTGAATTCATTTAGAAAAGCATCACCCACCCATCCCAGCGCTGAGTCTTTGTAGAGGGGAACTTGCTTATGAACTCCAGGCCGAAACAATTATTGTGACTCAAGAAAGATTGGCAACCAGTATTATGTGGTTTGTTGTAAATAGGTCAAGAAGTGGTTGGGTGGAAGATATCCTGTCCAGCCTCCATTCTGTATCACACAGGCAGTAGAATATGAAGCTTGTCTTATTTCCTATAGTGTTGCCTTTCAGAATAACCATGATTTTTACTCAGCTTCCCCAAAAGGACTGACTGATGGCAAAGACTCAGAAAGATAATATATTCTCTGTGTTTTTCTCAGAAATCAAGTCATGTGGAAACCATTACAGTTACTTCAGCAAAAAGGAGATATATTGAACTGATTCCCAGTTAGCCTTAAGAGAATTATACTGAATAAAACTTTGGGACACGAATGAAGCTGAAGTAATTGTATATCAGATTACCAGAAAGAAGTTAAAAGTCAACACTGAGCACTTTGCTAGAATGCGTCTACGATCTTAAACTGTTTATTTTGCTGAAAATAAATTATTTTCATGATGTAAAAAAAGAAAAGATTCAGTTGTGGGAAACTGGCTTTCTTTCTTATGGAATATTCCACCATAACAGCTACTTTTTCTTGGAATATTCCATTGTTCCATGAGATTAAAAGGTCCAAGAAAATTCTTCGATTTGGGGCTGAGTCAGGGGGGGGGGGAAAGAAACTGGGGAACAAGGGAAACAGTTCGTTTTTCAACAGCCCTGCTTAGTACATACAATTTTGGGGAAGAGCAGTTGGTTTGCAGGTGTGAAGAAAGAAAGAAAGAAAGAAAGAAAGAAAGAAAGAAAGAAAGAAAGAAAGAAAGAGGTGTAATTCAATGTCATTT